AAGACATAGTACCAATGCAACCCAACATACCACGAAGACATATCGATACTACTAAAACATCAAACTTAATTTAGCAGAACTAAAAATATATCATATAATTAAAATCAAAAGTTTTAGATACATCAAATAGATAAAAAACATAAAAGTAAAAAATATCTACTCCATCAAAAACATATCTCCCCCCTCTTTGTTACAAAATGACAAGGGCGACATTGTAACCAAAGAACAAAATAACAAATGTTTTGCACCCTTACTGTTAGTATGAAACTAGTCAAAGCCTGTGCAATGCACGGGTTAAGGTATTTTTGAAGGTTATGTTAGTGTTGAATATTAATGGGAAGTAAACTATTCTAAAAGTTTCATAAATAAATCAAAAACACATTCCTACAAAGATAAAAAAAAATAAAAATAAAAAATCAAGAACACATTACAAGAATAACAAAATCATTGTCCCTCCTGGCACCCCAAAATATCTCAATTTCCCGTATTTCCTATGATAACAAAATATACAAATCACAAAATACAGAGAAAGCAAACCTGATCAGGCTGACCAACATTCTGTATTTTGCTAGATGTCTTGCATTTTCAATGATGTGAATAACACACGTCCTCTTCTTCTCCATGTTGAGCAAGTCCCTATTGCTTCTGTGAGAAAATTACACTACATACACCACTTCAGTCTGCCAATAACATAATTATAAACAAGTTTTCATAAACAACACTCCATGAAATACATGGAGAAATGATATAACTCCCACAAGGAAAATTACTTACAGGGACAACCATATTAGATACATGAGAAACAATTGTTCATGCAGTAGCTCCAAGATACGGGACACAAGCACCAATTTTCTACTACTAATTTCTAACATGAAAACCTTGAAAGCAAATATAGCAAATTTCATAGAGGAAAAAGAGCATTAGAAGTATCATAATTCATACAAAACAAGAATTTGTAATGCAAAATACTGATCTAATATCTGCAGAACCACTTTAGACTTGACTTTAGTTACTTTTCGAAAGCATTTCGTTCCAAAATGGCAGTTAGAACAAACAAAGACAAGCTAGAACAATTTAGGAATTTATTTATCTTCAGTGTGCTATTAAAAATACATTACCTCTTATTTAAATCTATTTTCCACTTCTCCATCAAACTATTTGAAATTAGAAGACGAAATTCGATCACCTATGAAGAACCAACAAGAATTTGGTGATAAATAGATGTGTTTCCAGAAAGGTAGATAGCTAGAAAGACATTTGTACTCAGAGGTGTCAGTCTATCAGAAAGGAAATATCCCACACAACATATGATTCACTTTCAGGCTTCATAGTAAGCTAGCTTTTTTCCCCAACCTAAATTTATACTTATTCCAATCCAACCCCAAAAACTAAAAACAAAAACAGGAAAACCCAAATTTGTCTCTCAAAGATCAAGTTCCCTAGTTAGTTCTCTCAACAAAATAATTACTTAACAACAAAACTGCACTATAACAAAGGAAAAATCATTTTCTACATGCATCGGTAGTGTGAGAAACAAAATGAAGAGGACTCTACCTTATGGGTGTCGAACATAAGAGGCTCCCTTGCTTGGTGATCTTCCCAACACGGATAGAAACAAGAGGCATGCACAAACACCTAGCCAGCATACCCACTTCTGATGGCTCAAAGTGTTATTTCATTATCACAGTAGGTAGAAGTAAGTTGAGTGCACAGCCTTCTCTATATGTAATTGAAGTATCTCTACTACAAAAGACTAATAATATATATTTCCTTGACAACCAGCTTGAGAAATGTAACAAACCAAATACGTTTGGGGAAATTAATTATTTATGGAACTTCAATTTCTTTCAGAGTAAATAAGTCGGTTTGGGCTAGGAAATTGAATGAGGAAATATGTCCAAAATTGCATAGATATTTCACCGATTCCATTTCCAAACAATAAATTCTACCCCTCCATACAGAACTTATTAAAACTAGTACATTCAAGAAACTAGGTTTTCTTTTGATTACTTATCCCTGATTAAGGTAGGCCAGCAAACAATCCTCAGCTGCGCCGGTGGATAAATTGAGTTTCAGCAAAGGCTTCAACCTTTCATCCGTGCGACATACCCCCAAAACCTGCATATCTAGAGCCTGAAGCTACTGCAAAAAATCCACCACTCTTCTGTAGCAGCGATCTTTGTCACCATCCTCCACAAGAACGTCATCTAACCTCTGCGTAATTGAAGGATTCTCAGCAGATGAGATCTCTGTACCGTCCGATGAATTGTTGATCGAATCATCGCCGCCTCCATGCTCTTCATCACCACCTTCCTCATTTTCACTCATCTAACTAGGGTTATCGCTCAATCCATCGGTTTCGAGATCTGAGAAGCTTTCAAAATCTAGGAGTGAGTTTGGGTTTCGTTTGGTGTTCGAGAGCGAGGAGAACGTGTTTTACTTTGCCCTTGATACAATAGGAATGAAATAATCCAAAATTGTACTGTAGAAGAACCAGCTTCGGAACCAGCTAAGGAACAGTGTAAGAAAAGGACTGTGACATAAATGAACAGTAACTTCCAAAGAGACTCTTATAAGAAAGAGTAGGATATGAGTGTTAACACATAATAACTTGAAAATACTGTTATGAATCAGGCACAAAGATAAACAGTGAACAGTAGACCTTTCTACATACTTTGTTCAAGTTATCATGGAGTAAATTGTATAAGCGATCTATAACAGTATATCGTCTTAACGCGGGACGAGGGTTCTTTAGGAGGTTCAGGTTAATCATCATATGTGGAGTCCTTAGTGGACTATCTAAACCATTAGAAGTACGTAGGGAATCATAAATGGGGGTTTCTTTAAGTTCAACTACCATGACAGGATCAACACTCAGGTGTTCCAGCTCCACCCCATTGCTTACAATCTCCCCCTAACTACAAACATCATCCACCACTACATTGATAGACTCCATCACGACCTGTGTACGAGAATTGTATACACGATGTGCCCGACTATTTCTAGAATATTCTAGAAAGATTCCCTTATCACTTTTAGAATCAAACTTGCCCAATTTTCTCTATCTCTTAGTATATAGCACTTGCTGCTAAACATATGAAGTACTTGACAGTTGGTCGTTTACCTTTCCAGATCTCATATGGTGTAATATTAGTTTTAGGTCTAAGATAAACCCTGTTAACGATGTGACATGCAGTGTTGATGGCTTCCCCTCGAAAATGCATAGCTAGATCCTTCCCATGAAGCATGACTCTTGCCATTTCTTGAAGCACACAATTTTTTTCTCTCAACTACCCCATTCTATTATGGAGTGACCGGCGAGGAAAACTCATGTTGGATTCCCTCTTCCAAGCAGAAGTTCTCAATATTAGAG